AGATAGATAGATAGATAGATAGATAGATAGATAGATAGATAGATAGACTGAATAACTTTATTGTCACTTTGAATGTACATTAATTGGCATACATTAAAATGAAATTACATACAGCTCTCAAAGGGTCACCATCTTCAATATATACTACCTAAACATGACTAAATAAATACCGTGTTTCTCATATAATAAGGCTGGGTCTTTTTTTTGAGCCCCGAAAAAATGGCTAGGCCGTCTTTTCAGGGGTGACAGTTCCCCCCCCCTTGCATCTTCGGGCGGGCAGCGACGGCTTGGATGTTGACCTCGGCATTGGTGGGGCACTTCGTATCGGGGTCAATGCAGGCAGCACCATATCCGGGTGTGCAACAAAAGTACTTCCTAACGGCAAGCCCCCCCCACCATTCCCCCCCATTTCGCATGGTTTAATATAGGCCTTAATTTGGGGGGAGGGGCTTAATTTCATTTCATGCCTATAAAACATGCTGGGACTTCCTATTGGGGGAGGCCGTATTGTTGGAGAAACAGGGTAAATAAACAAAAAATTATGCATATACCCACATATATTATATGACACAGAGAAACAACACAGTCTAGTTTGGATGTATACCTGTACATGGCGAGAAAAATGAATCTCGTGAGTTTACCAGATGGATGGCATAGGGAAGAAAGATGTTACAGAACCTGGAAGTCCTACTAGAAGTTCTTTGAAACCTCCTCCCAGAGGGGAGCAACAGAACTGTTAGAGCAGAATTACAGAGCAGAATTAGCTAGACAGGCTTCCACCTGCTTGATTGCTGTTCCTGTTCCAAGTGAAAGTTTGCCATCATCTCAAGAGGTTTGAATGAATTCTCTCCACTGGCGAGAGAATGTTAATACGTTCTGCAGGGCGGCTTCCCTTTGGGAACCAGTTTTGGCCTCTCTCCTATTCTGTGTTTTAACTTCTCCCCATTTTGGCGTCTCTGCCTCTCCCTTTTAGCTTTGTGCGGCTTCAGACGGAAAAAGAAGCTCTCTACAATGACAGCAGGTATGGGCTGAGCAATCTGGAATTTCACCCTCTGCGCCAGGGCAACAGTGCCCTTTTCACATGTTTGAGATGCATCGGGTGGCTGGAGTAGAGCTCTCCAAAGGACACTGGAAGCCAGGGTTTTAGGAAGGGAGGGAGGGGGAGAAACAACAGGAGGAAGCTGGAGAGCTGAAATCCACCACCAGTATTACAGGCCAGGTCATCAGAAAACCACCGCAGTGTGAAAGCGTTACATAAAGTCTGGCAAGATGATCCCTATGGGAATCCGCTGAGCAAGCCAGTTGATGGCGCGGAATGAATTGCACTCATGCCTGAGAGGTCTGAAGTGGGCCCAATTAAGTAAGTAGAAAGCCTTGGGACTCTTTCTCCTTCTTCCCAGCCTCTTGAATGATCATTGGCCCCATTTTCATGGCATTTATTTAAGCCATGCAATGCGGCCTTCAGATACTATATTTGATATAACAAATTACATTCATAATAAAATAGCAGGCTACATTCTAGCCGAACAAAGCTATATAATACAATGTGAGTAGATGAGACAGAACCTCTAAGCTCAAGAACTATTTTTGAACTATTACCATCTGGCAGACAGTACAGAATATTGAAAACAAGCACAAATAGGCTGAAAAACAACTTCTATCCCAGGGCAGTAGCTCTTTGGTGCAGTGTTGCGGGTTTTCAGTTCGATGTGTGGAGTGAAGGATGTGTGTTTGTATTCATTTTCGTGGTCACGATGTGCACTGAAGATGGTGTTTGATTTCGTTGTACAAGGTGCAATGACAATAAAGTAAACTAAGAATGCCAGTGCATCTCTCCCCTGTTTAGCAGAAACAAATGATCTGTGTAAAGCAGACCTTGATCCAGAATAGATTAGACACATGTGCATAATTTAGATCCAGTGTTGTGCCTCTTAGCTAACCTTGAATGGTCTTGAGTGCTGTGCAAACTTAGCCTTAATTACAGTTTGGATGGGGGACCATCTGGGAGGCTCAGAGCTGCTGGCCAGATTTCAGCATTGAATTAATAGAGTACTTTAGAAGAAGGCAGTGGCAAGCCACTTTCGTTACACTCAGGTGGGATGCAAATATTTTTACTACCGGTTCTATGGGCATGGCTAGGTGGGAGTGACTAGGTGCACATGGCCATGTGACTGGGTGAGCATGGCTTCTTCTTTTTTTTGCAGCAACACTCCCCCTCCATGCTCCATTTTTTTTGCCTCCTGGGCCTTAGGGAAGTCTCCTGAGCAAAGCAGTAAGACAGCTAGGGGGATCCTGGCGCAGCTGATCGTCAGAACAGCTGATCATCTGGAGGAAAAAAAAAGAAATACTGTAGGGAGTGACTGGGCAGAGAGGGGAGGGGCCAGCCACAGGCACGATTTCCTGGTTCTCTGAACTGCGCAGAATCGTTAACAACCAGTTCTACTGAATTGGTCCGAACCGGTAGAATCCCACCCCTGGTTCCATTGCTTAGAAAGCATGGATATATCCATGAAAGTCCCCAGAGTTGAGCATAGCTGAACAGTAGAGGTTCTTGCTTCTTTTTCTTGGAATTTGCATCAGCCGGGGTGCAGGTTTTAACCGAAAGTGAAAGTGGATTTGGGGCTGGAGCATTGGGCAGTAATGGTGTTAAAGTGCTTTTGCTGCAGTGGTGGGTGCTGAAGAGAAAGTGGAGAAAGAAGCCCATTCCTGGGAAGACAAACAATAAAGCTGGAAATGGGGATGAATGGATGAGATGGGAATGGAAAAGGCATATTTCCTGCAAGAGTAGAGTGGTGAAGAGAAGACAAGGAAACAATTACCCAAAGGCAACAGAGCAGCTTAAAGAGAAGAAAAACATTGTCTCTGAGTTCTCTCTCCTCCCGTTCTCTGTTCAGGACCAAAATTGAGGAGATCCAACAACGGAAGGAAGAGGAACTCAAATCTCTGCAAGTTCGTAACCAGAAGCTTCAGCAGGAGCTCCAGTCCATTAACCAGGTAAAAGACGTTATTCCTTCTCCTCTATGTTCAGATTGAGTTACATTTAAGGCATGGCTGAAGAGACCCGATTCATCAGATTTAGAACTTTGCTCCATCAGCAAGGAAACCTCTTGATCGAAAGGGTTTAGTTTTATCAGTTGAGAGGCCTTGATGCAAAGCCTAGCTGTGTATTTACCCAGTTCTTTTCAGCTTTGGTTCTCTAATCCAGGGGTTCCTAACCCCCAGTCCGTGGACCAGCACCAGTCTGTGGCATGCCAGAAACAGGGCCATGGAAACAAGTGAAGCCCCGCCTGCAGGCTGCACACAAAACCACACCCCCTTCAGTCTGTGGAAAAACCTCTGAAAAGTTGGGGCCTGCTGCTCTAATCTGTACAGTTAGAGTAATTCTGGCCTTTCCGTTTCTAAAACATTGTTTCTGAACCTCAGCAATGTTAGATGTGTGGACTTCAACTCCCAGAATTCCCCCTGCCAGCAAGACCACACCTCTTAAGGTTGCTGAGATTGAGAAACACTGGTCTAAAGCAGGGTTCTCCAACCTTGGCCATTTCAAGACTTGTGGACTTCAACTCCCAGAATTCCTCAGCCAGTTTTGCTTTACTTTGCTGGCTGAGAAATTCTGGGAGTTGAAGTCCACAAGTCTTAAAGAGGCCAAGGTTGGAGAACCCTGGTCTAAAGCATGACTGGCTTGTCAGGGGTTAACTGCCACAATTTTTCCCAATGAAGTTTGAGAAATAGGACGGAGCTAGGGTTGTTTGCTTGTTTATAAATCATACGTATAGGTTGTCCCACTCGCCAGATAAATTTCTCCTATCTCATGGAACTATACTTCCTGAAATTTCTTGGAGGAAATGCCACAGACTTGTTAAAGTGGATAAAACATAAATAAAGCTAACAATAATGGGCCATTTGTTTCCTGTTCTAGAAAATAGGATTCCCTCCCCCTCTGTTTTCCCTAAGAAAGGGAAGAATCTATGGTTTTATCTTTTTAATGGTTCTGAGGTTTATTGATTCCACCTGATAATTTCCATGGGCATGGTTGTCTCCATCTCAGGTGTGATACTAGTGGAATTTAATGCAACAGTGAAATCCTCCCTTCATGTTCTTTCTCTGGTAAATGTGTTCCTTCTTTCTCAGGGCTTCTTGGAATTAAAGGACCAATTGCAGAGTGGTAAAAAAGAACATGAATTGGCCCTTCAGACTCTGCAGGACCAGGTGAATGCCTCTTCTACCTGTCTGCCCCCCCATCCCCCCACCCCCCTTTGTTAAGAATCTCTGATCTGCCTCAATTTATAATTTTGGTGAGATGTTTATTTTCTGATATTGTAGGCCTTTGTGGAGGATTGAATCTCTGTTTCTGCTTCAGGGGGTTGAGTTTATAGCTCCCATCATTCTGAAGTGGTATTGGGGTGCTGGAACTAATAGCATATGAAAGGCGTATGCATATACACTTATGCCTGTTCTTGAAAGAAGATAATAAGTGTATTGTATCAGAAATAACAGTACCCAGAGAACTCCCTAAATGGATTCTAGTTTTGGTCACAGAGCTATATGGTTTCAATGTTTATTATAAGGCGATTCAGATTTGCCACCAAAGAAGCAGAATTATATGACTTGTATCAATCGTGCTATTTGAGTACGTTGACATTAGGAGTTCTAGACAATGTGGAATTCTGATTTTGCTTTTGTAGAAATGAACAAAGATTTGTTTTTCTAATGATAAAATGTTCTCAAATCATAAAAACTGGAGGTGTAGGACTTTTTGAAGTAAAAAAAAAATCTGTGTTTGTTATTATGTTTTGTAATTTTTTCCTCTGCTACTGTGACATAGGTCAGCCCAAAGTCCTATAGATGGTTGAACCAAACTTCCCTAATTATTAATCCTCCCTGATCAATGGCCAAGTGATTGAGGCTAATAGGAATCTAAAACATTTAGAATGAATCATCTTAGTGAAGCCTGAAATGTTAAAAAGGAAGCCTTTGATCAGCTCTGGCAGATACACCTGTTGGATCAGAAGGTAATAAAGACAGCGCCTTATCTCTCAGCTAGACTTCTCTCATTTACTTTACATAGGGCTGCCCTTGAAAGTGATTCCGAAGTGCCTTCTTGCTATTTAGTACTATCCAGTTTCACAGGATAACTCCTATTTTATGGGAGCTGGTTGCTGTTGGCTTCTGGCCCAATTCAGAGTGCTGATGATCACATAGAAGAAGCTCTATACCTTTGAATTCTTGCTATGTCTGGGCTCCTTTCCTCCAGGAAGAATCTGTGCGAAGCAGATAGAGTATGCTTCAAGTCCTTGTCCCACAGGAGATTGGGGGCGGGGGGCGGGGTGAGGAGGGACGGGGATTGCTTGCTGGCATTCAGAATCACCATAGTGATTTCATGTTATGTTATATTCATATTATGAACTATCTTATGGCTGTTTTTTAGATCGTGCACTCCAAGACATGTGGTCATAAGTCACTTATAAGGATGTGGGTAATGAATAAATAAATCAAGGAAGCCATATGGCTGACTGGCAAATGGGTTGGCTAGCTGAAATATTGATACAACCTGCCCCTACTTGTTCACGGAATTACTTCGGTAGAGATTCATCCGGGGTTTTTTTGGCACTGTGATCTTACTTTCCATAAAATAATTTGCTATTCTTTCCATTTAATTCAATAAGTTGCACATTGGCATTCTGTTCCTATTCTTGCCATATTCTATGTGTGGGTGTGTGAATTATGTTGATCCAGTACAATTTTATATCTGTCTGTCTGTTCTAAGTATATTTTTGAATGCAGAGCATGCAACGTCTCCTTGGTACTTTATAAAAGAAATCTGAATTTGCTGATGTGGATGGGGTTATCTTTCTCTGGATACTTCTTTGTCAGTAAATCCAACTGAACCTAATAAAACCTATTGAATAGTTAAATATGAAATTACATTGTAATGTTTCTCTGTGTATGGAAGTCAACAGCTAAACAATTAGAATCCTGGGACTTAAAATATGAACACTATTAGTGGCAGTTGTTGAAGTAACACTCCAAAAGAATTAAATGTAAATAATGGGAAGTTGCTGTAAAACTACCCCATCCCCATGTCAAGGAGGCTGTTGTATCGCTGCCCTGTGAGTACATCTCTAGTCTCAGTGGGGAGGCAGATACTGTGTCCAATTGGTTTATATCATTCATTTGCCCTGTACTGAAAATGATATAATTTCAGACAAGACCATGTATTTCTTTATTGAATGAACTCCTCTTAGCTATCCTTCCTTCATTTGAATGATGCCATGTGTTCAGTCATAAGCATGTATAAATGTGAAATTGTGCTAATGTGCTAAAATGTCAGAAAATTGTAGAAGGCAATTATCTGCTATGAACTTGAATTCATGTATTGTTCCCCCCAACACAAAGATTGTCCCCCGCATTGTGTTTCTGCAATATTCCACGTAAGAGAATCAGAACTGAAGGGCCTTTGTGGATGATTGTCTTGTATGTGTACTGGTTGAATATAAATTGTATGTGTACCATACTTACAATGTACAGTTGTACATTGCGATATTGTTTGAGTTTATGCATGGCAATGAGATTATAATCAACCAGTGTCTATTTTACCTATCGCAATGTCATTGGGAGTGACCGTTCTTTATTTTGTTTCACATTGAATATGTTACTGTGGACACTTTACTATGATATTTTAGTTACGTTGTTTACCTTAGAAATTTTAATGACTGTTCTTATGTAAATTGATGTGAGAATGGACATCATATTTGTACACTGCTATATAGATTCGGCAGCATACAAATCTGACAAATCCGTTATTGCAGAACCAGTAGCAGAGCTGAGCAGCGAACCATCCTACAGACTGCAAAGGATGGGAAAAATCTATAACGTTGTTAAGTATTTAAGAAGCAATGTGAAGCTAGTGTAACAGTTAATGAGAATTGTTATCTGAACAGATCCCTAAAATTTAAACCCAGAGCATTAACATATTATGTAAGTTCTGCTTGCTCTCTATATATTCTGTCAGCACAAGAAGAAAACGAATTTCAGTATGAAGCGTTGAGAGCACAGAGAAGCCAGATTTATTGTTATACTGAGTTGAAGTGTAACAATATACAGTACTTATAAAATCTCTAATTTGGGGCATAGTGATGGGAAAATAGTCCAAATAATCTGGACAATACTACTGGTACTTTCCTTTTTAATAAAACAATATGCTGCACATGGGAATAACTTTCATTCAGTGATCTTAATTCTTTTATAGTGTAAGCTTCTCCATTCATAATTTTTTTTTCTAAATTGGGTTGTTCTTGAAGGCTCTGAATGAAAAGGGAAAGTAATTTCAGGTTTTGGGGTTACACTGCTGGGGAAGAAGTGGGTTTTTTTACCTCAAGGTTGTGGAGAAGAATTATATTTCAATTTTCTCTACTTTCAACCTACGGCAAATGAAAACAATCCGATTGGCTTAAATCTTTTGAAAAAATAGGCATTGGGAAAATGCCACTGCATCCATCAGGCTTTGCCCAAATAGAAGGATGGAAAGAGACAGGAAAGAAAGATGTTTGCAAAACCAGCTATGTATTTTTAAAGGAATTTCGATGTGCCTTCTCCCTCTAGCATGTTCTCCTTATCACTATTAACTTCATATATCAAATTCATATTGTAAGTCTCTCCAGAGAAGATATTCAATATGTTTTACCTGTAGATTTGGGGGCCATGCTATTTTGAGAACGTTGTATCAGAATCTTCATTTCTTCTGTACAAGATACTATTTTAGGCTTAATTTCATCCAAGGAGCAGAGGATGTAAAACTTTGAATTTCCTATGTAAAACTATATGTATTGGATAAGCTCTTTCTTTTTGAAAATAAATAGTTTAGAACACTTATTTAACTCAGATGCTATTTAATATGAAATACTCTTAAGATTTCTTTTTTTTTTCCCTTTCCTTTTTGTTATTCAATTTCTCCTTGAGCTCTTACTATGTTATATTCCCTTTGTTCCTCCTCTCCCCAACATTTCTTGAGCAATGCTTCAGGCTTATTCCTCTCTAAAAGGGACTCACCCGGCCCCCATTGTTTTTTGATTTACAATATTTGATCAACAAAGGCCTAGTTGCCACTTTTTGTTTTGAAGGGTAATTAATCTCTGGTGAATGGACCATGTAGCTCCGAGGGATTTTCACATCAGTTTTATTTTAATCATGAGGTATGGACATTCCTATGAATGTTACTGTTATTACCTGCTTTTATAACTAGAAATAGAATTGCAAAGTTCAACTAAAATCTCAAAAAATGAAATTTTAAAATCTTTTGGGTGGTTCACATGTATTTGGACGACCAGTTGGTGACTTTTGTTCAGAGCTATCCATTTTTTTCCTTCTGTTTTCCTTCTGCCAAAGCTAGAAAATAGGGCAAAATACACTCTCAGCATTGTCATTTGAAGCCAGCTCTTATCTTGCTATATGCTTGGATATATTCTAAATATTTTATTTCCCGTCACATAATATACTGTAACTGAATTGTCTTGAATTTCATCCAAGCCCATAGTACTGAGGCCCATTTTCTCATCTTAAAGCAGGGATGAGGGAATATTTGAGATTTTGAGAGTTGTACCTTTTCCTCAGACTCTTCTGATCACAGGAAATTGATGATATGATGATGCAATCAACATAGATGAGGCTAATTTCCCCCCTCAGGGGATGTTAAGGATACAGTTGTGCTCGTAAATTGAGGACTACCAGTACAGCAGTTTTGCGCAGGTTTGAACCCCGAGCGACAATGGGATTAGCCATCTTGCTCACAATTGCAGCAGAAACTTTCAAAGGACACCAAGTTTGCGAACCTCATTTTCTAATCACTTTTGGAAATTGCTCATTAACTATTTTTAAGCTATTAGAGATCTTTGGAATAACAAGTTCGAAAATTCCAGATGAGTTTGCCCTTTAATCCTGAACTGAAGAAAATTTAATCATAATGTTAAGAATTAAAAAAATCTTTGCTATTTCTTTATTATATTCCTACTTTTCTGTTTTCTTTTCTTGTACTCTATTCTATTCTCTTTTCTTTCTTTCTTTAAGTTCAGATTGTATTAGATTTTACCATTTTAATAAAAATTATATATCCATATGTATTGACCTCCAAAGGGGTTGACCTCCAGCTTTTACCCAATTTACCACCAAAATTCAGAGTGCCCCTAGGTTGGTGGGGCCAATGGTTGGCTCCTGCTTTCAAGTATAATTCAAGTTCTGCTTGAAAGCCATATTCTGTGGTTCCCTTTTAAAGATTCACATGATGCCTGAGTCTATGCTGTTTCTCTGGGCAGTTACACATAACTTGATCCTCATAATGAGTTGCTATGGGAAACCTTGTAAGATGTTGCCAGTGATACTTTTTTGAGGCCTTACATCTTCTTTGCCATGTGCTTTGGTACGCAAATGGGATTTCATAGACTGGCTGTGGCTTCTTCTGATTTGATATTGGATCGTAATTTAATGTAAAATTTATTTTACCACTTTGTTTATTTTTTCCCTAAGCCATTTCCTCTTGGATAATATAAAGTTTGGTGTTTTATGCCATTGTGATGGAAGTGCTGTTCTACTGCAAGTGAAGTAAGCAGTATTCCATTTTAAACTATTATTTCTTTAAACTCTTTTATTGGAAAAAAAAACATAGCAGCCATGAATTGGATATTTCATCTATTGTTATTTTATCAGAAAATAATTCTTCAGGCTATAGCACCATTAACTTTTCCAGTTTAATTATTAAAAGTTCCCTTAATTTTAAAGTAAAATTATCTCATGGATCTCTTTGGGAATCCCTATTGGATTTTATAATAATAATAATTTATTAAACTTGGATGGGATGGTGGTCTCTCAATTCCAGATTGGATCCTCAGTGTGCTTCTTTATATCTTGTAGAAAACTGGCAATGTGTTTATCTGGAACGTGTTTTGAACATGATGCCCTTGTGGCCTTTGTAGGTCTAGTTAGTATTGCTTATATCTTCCTCAACATTGTAAATGGATAACTTGTAGATCTATACAAGTTATCCATTTAGATCTATATACTACTAAAACTCTCATGCCAATAACCTTCAGTTGCACAAAAAATGCATTATAGGGTAACAATTTTTGATGCAAAATACCTCAAATGGGCTAACTTATAAAATGCATCCAAAATCTGGGATCCATGACTCCCATGGATTTGAAATTTGGCAAACATTAATACAAAATGTCATAAAACATTTCTTGTGCTGATTTTTAACTTTGCTATACAGTTTAACATGGGCTATTTACAAGGCCAATAGATCTCCAAATGTATCCCAACTTTTCTAGTGAAAATTGGACATTAGCACTTCTGTCACTGTTGGAGGCATTGAGGAATCTAGTAAGGATGGCCCCATGGATGACAGGCTATCTAGTATGATCATAAAAGTTCTAGTATTTGAACATTGCATTACCATCTTTGGATGACAATGTACTTTGGGTCAAAAGTATATCATTGGTCATCAAAGCTGCTGTCCATTCTGAAAATGCAGTCACCCTTGAGTAGTTGAAGCTATTTGTGCAATTATACTTTTATCTATATTTTCATATTGTTTGTCAAAATGGCAGATAGAGGCTGAGATAGACTGTCTGCTAGAATATTGTAATTTCCTGGAAGATATTCAGATGGGAACATAAAGTTGATTAATTTGCTAATCTATTGTGCCATGCTCCTATGAGGTTAAAACCCTCCTTACCATTTATTCTTTATTCTTTATTTTGTAAATTATAAATAAAGCTATGAATGAGAATTGCTCCCTTAACTTAATTCAAGATCATAATCATATACATTACTAAGAGTTTTATTCTTTCTGAATCCTCCTTCTGTTTCCACTTCTTTCTTTTGCATTTTTGTTCTTCATATTTGGCTCTACTTCTAGTATTTTCTCACTGGGCTAAATGTCTAATTCAAAAACATATTCATATTGTAGGATACAGCTCTGGCCAAGATGGACTGTCAGTCCAAATTCAGTGCATTCATATTAGTCTAATTTTCCAAATATACATAGTATGTTTACATAGTAAATATACATACTAATGAAAACAGCATTATTGATGAAAAAGTGAATATATCATTAGATAGAGAATTTAATTGTTTTCAGAAATATCACAGATTTTTAGGAAAAGGAGCAGGAAAGGTAATCAGGATGGTATAATTAAAAAGCAGAGCTATAATGTCTCATACCACACAGGTTGTGCTTCCTACAACCATTCCTGTGCTCGTCCTTATCATCTTGCGTATCAGGATCAGAGATTAGAGTTGTATCCTTCTTTTAATCGCTGTATGCTATCTTGTAATGATTTATTCAACAAACGGAGGGAAAATATATACAGTGAATCTGTTCATCAGACTTACTAATTACTTATCATGTTTTTGTAGGAAAAGAGGCTGTTTCTTAAATTTTTAGTTTTTACTTTTTGTTATTGTGCATTGATTTCTAAAATCCCTAAGTTGAGTTTCACATCCTGTCTGTTTTAACTTACATTTGGGGTGCATTCTAAACTTTATTCTTTAGCCAAGAGATGAGCTTGACATTTTGAAAAGACTATGCAATACTTCAGCAAATCCCAGGCTGATTCTTTTGGCTTATGGACCTCAGCCATTGGTATCGTCATGGGAGTCACTGATCCTGGGCCTTCTCTAACCACCAGAAATCTCCATCTTTGGGATTTTTCAGCATATGCTTCTTGAATACTTTCCCAACCCATATTTCACAATGTGAAAGATTTTACTCTATTTAATAAACAAAAGCTGTATTTACTGTATACCATTGCTTATACAGGCCATGACTATCTTGACTGTGAAACTCAAAGCATTAGAAAACTGTTAAATCTTGTCATGAGCGTGATTGATTTCCCAGCCCTGAATTAAGACGTCTGTAAGATAGATTTTGATTCATACCAGGAGCCAATCTAACTTACCTTAATAAGAAAAAACAAATAGGTTTGACTGGCTACTCCAGAGCTGTCAAATTTCAAGCCCATGGACTGGATGCATCATGCACTGGCCATGCCCACGCCTGATTTAGCGAAGGAGGGAGAAAAAAAGTCCTGATATGTCATGTGACGCCGCTGTGACGATGTGAGTTTGACATCCCTGGACTACCCTGTCAAATGAGCATTTGGAACTGTCCCGATTTCTCTAGAGGCACAGCAAGTTCTAAACAGTGTTTGGGGGGCTAGAGACAAAACTTAGGGTAATGGATGTGACTAGTTTCCATACCTCACTCTACTCTGGTTCTCGAATTGGATTTGGGGATTTTCTTCAAGTCTGTTAAAACTCTGTGAGCATATTTAGCTTCTTTGATTATGTTTTGTCTACTTCATAATGGTGGAACACAATGGTTCTTAGCAAGCACCGTTCTTAGCAAGCGTGGTCCACAAAAAATATGGGTGTGTGGAATACATGAGGGAATAAAAATGTGCAGAAAATATACAGAAAAAGGTCATGCTGGAGGAATGTAATGTGTACTTAAAATGACATTGTGTGTCAAAATGTAATTGACAGAGCTCCTAACATTATCTGCTTGTCAGTCACAGCCAATGGTGGGATTCAGCCAGTTTGCACCAGTTCGGGAGAACCGGTTGTTAACTCTCTGAGCAGTTTAGTGAACTGGTTGTTGGAAGAAATCGTTAGGGCAGAGAACAGGTTGTTAAATTATTTGAATCTTACCACTGATCACAGCCCATGGTTCTACTTTGTTTTTGGCTTGAGCACAACTCCACACTCTTGACTACTCTTTATACTTTGTAGGTCTGACTAAACTTGACTAAGAGCCCCATATTTAATAGTAAATACTTTAATATTCAGGGCCACTGCAATTTAATATTGGTTTAGAAATTACAATGATGATTGATTTGTGGGTGGAAGGGCCTAACCCAGGCCCAACAGTTTATCTGAATACTTTCTGGAAATATTTTTCCTTCAAATGCAGTAATTTATAGCTGAAATGGTTGTACACATTGCTTCAATCATAATATACAGTAAGTTGTTGGCTAAATTTGGGGTTCCTCCCTTATTTGTTTGAAGGGGGGGTGTTTCTACCCAGGAAACCTATCCTGATATATTCTAGCTCTTAGTATTAGGAACTTAACAATGAAATTACTCTCCTCCTTTCATTTAATTGCCCCATTTCTTCTCTTAAATTCCTGTCCTCTGTGGACCTTTCCCTCCTTTTAATTTGCTTTCTTTGTTTTAACCTTCTCTTCTCAAACAGGTTTGGCGATGATGTTAAGTCTCTAATAACTGTGTCTTGTCCTTGTAACTGAAAATGAAATCTGGTTCATTTCGTTAATTGTTTTATTTTCATAGCAATTGATGTGTCTCTTTTTAAAATGTTGTTTCCAAGCTTGCTTTCTCTAAAACCAAAATAAAGATCAATCACAACCCTTGCCCAAGACTGCTAGTTCCATGTTTTGCTCTATTTTTAATCCTTATTTTCTCCTCCCCTCCTGCTTTTGCTCCCACCCTCCCCTCCCCCCATGCCTCTCATTCTTTCCTTCCTTCCTTCCTTCCTTTCCATTGCCCATCCTTTCCTTCGTGGGCCCTCAGGTTGCGTGCCAAAGTGCGGAGAGCCAGGAACAGGTTGAGACCATTCTGTCTGAAAATGATGCTCTGAGAACCAACCTTGCAGCCTTAGAACAGGTACCAGGTTCTGCCTTGTGAGCCAAGTAGTCAGAGGGGCGTAGAAGGTGGTGTTGATGGTGATGAAATTGAAAGCTGTGACTGTTCATTTTTACGAGGGGGTATTTACAGCATAACGGAGGGTAAATCACCAGCCACAACTGGGGTGTGAAGAATTACTGTTTTATTTATTGCATTTACATTCCTCCCTTCACCCAGTATATTCTGCATATGAAATGTGCAGGCATTTTCAACATTTCTTATTGAGTAAGATAGGGTAAGAATAGACAGGTTCCAAACCATCTTCTAAGCTTCATTAGATAACTGGGAATTTGAATGTTAGCATCTTCAAGCCTGGTCTGGTATTTTAACTGCTATATCACACTGATTCACACTGATTCACCTCACCTCATCATGCACAACAACAGAGCACTTCTCTTTAGCAAGGATGAGCAACTATTTAAGCCCAGGGCCATGCATCTTTTTGAGTGGCTAAGAATTGCAATGAAAGTGGCAGTAACACAACCCAGGAATGTGTCATAGAAAGATTTGGGACCCAGATTTCTTTCTTCTAGGCTATGGAAGAGTTGTTGTTTTGTTTTGGTTTGGTTTTTTAAAAAAACTAAGTTAAACCTATATGAAGCCTACAGTTTTTACTTGTTTCCTGCCTTTAAACAACAGGAAATCCTGTTGTCCAAAATTAGAAGCATCAAGTGTTTGAGGGGAATGCTCTGTTAAGTTAGTTGTATTGTCCTGCTGTGAAGTGGCCTGTGTCACCTTAGGAGAAAGTGACTGAGATTGCATCATAATTCTCTCTCTTTCTCTGTGTTGTGTGTATGTATCCTTGGGGGATTACGTGCTATGATGATAACAAAGATGCAGATATCACAGATGCTAGTTTTGTCATTCACAACAGGACAAGATTCCTTCTTCCTATTTTAAGACATGGATAGATTGTGTCAACAATCACATCTGTTGTACGAAAATGTGCCATTATTGGCACATTACCTTAGACTGGCACTTCTTCCAGCACTTTAAGCCTTCCCAAACTCTAGATGTAAGACATGCTAGTTGAAAATTATGGGAGTTGTACTCCTGCCACATCTGGAAGGCTGTAGATTGGAGAAGGTTGGTTTAAGAGAATATGGAGAAATGGTTGTTAGAATATTGTGTGATGCTATTGCACAAATGAAAGGTGGCCTGTGTTTAAGCACCTTTTGGATAATAATTACATTGTAACGAAAAATGGGCATAAAACCCTTGGAATCTATGATACTGCAAGACCTACACTATATTTCATGCTTAAATGTACTACAAACCTCTTTATTCTTTCTTTTTGGTAGGCCAAAAACTCAGAGCAATTTCTGATTAGCCAAGTGTTAGTTTTTAAAGGCAAGTTATAAATGATAACATAATTATAAAATCTATAATTTACCTTTTTAAAATGAAACCTGGTTAGTCAGAAATCACTTGGTATTTCTGAATATTTTGATAATCCTACGGTAACGAATAAAAATGTGCTGGTGCTAAGAATTCTTATTCAACTACAGATTAGTATAATTTATATAAATTCCATAGTTCCACATTCTGGAATGTAAACTAAGTAAAAGAAAAAGAAAAAAAATGAGAAAATCAGGCTAATTTGCACTTCAAAAGTATTTAAAAATTCATCTGTATCAAAAACACTTTTCTGTGGGTTTTCATAGAGATTAAACCAATGAAGCTTGATACAGATGAGATAACAATCCTGTCCAAAATTAGGAGACTAGGAGTCAGTGGCAATATCACACAGTTCTCCCAGTTTCTCATTTCATTTTATTGTTTGGTTGTTAAGAAATGTGTGTGCGCTCATTATAATTAATCATAATAATTCATATTGTCAGTGGAATTTGAAGCTGGTTTGTAAACTTCAATTAAGCGTGAAGTCAGATGATTGTCTGTAATGGGTAACATCAGAGACGCATCGTTCATTTTTATACATACAGTGAATTAAAAATATTCTTGTGAAACTAAAAAAAATAAAGAAAATACATAAAAATTCAGTGGTGTGTGGAAATGTGCTTGAGTAGTAGGAGAGGGTGGGAATCTATGGTTTTTAGTTCTTTTTTAAGGAAAAAGAAAACCCACAGTTTTCTTTTTGCCAGGGGTGTTCTTTGGAGGGTAGATCATAGTGCCATGTACTTCTTCTGAAAGGACTCTGAACTTTTTCCCTTGCTCTCTTGTCCTGCTGCATTCTTGCCCTGTAGATCCAGACGTCTAAGACTCAAGAAATGAATCTGATGCGAGAGCAGGTGGCGACATTGGGAGATGAGCTACAGCAGTGTCAGAATGAGAAGGAGGCATTGGCTGCCCAGCAGGATGACCTCAACACACAATTGCAGGTGGGCCAAGGCCACTAGGTCCATACTGATAGCCCAAGTATCATGCTGCTGCTTACAAGGCCCAGCCAGCTATTTACATATTCTGCATTTCCTTCCTCCTATCGCCTTGAGCACACTATGCAGAATGCCCCATTTTGAACCTTTATGGTGCGGGGAGAAAGGAGGAGCAAGCAGTTAAATATTTATGACATGAGAGGCAGAGGTAGTATTCAGCAAGTTCTGACCAGTTCTGGAGAACCGGTAGCGGGAATTTTGAGTAGTTTGGAGAACTGGCAAATACCACCTGGCCCTGCCCCCAGATATTCTTTGCCTCCTGAGTTCCAACTGATCGGCTGGGTCTTCTTTTGTTGCCCTGCATAGGAGAACAGAGCTGGAAAGCAGGTTAGTGGGGTGGGGGGATCCAGGTTATCTGAGGGAACGTCTCTTGTCGGTCACATCTCTCCAACCCACTAGAATAGGGAGGCAAGGAATGTTGTGAGTCCCGTCCCCTAAGGAGATACATCTGGAAGGATCCAGAAGAAGGGCCTTCTCTGTGGTGGCTTCCTCATTCTGGAACAGCATTCCCCCCAGAGATTAGACTGACCCCCACTAACACTCTTTTAGAAGGCCCTGAAGATGTGGTTCTGCCAGTGGGCCTGGGGAACCCAGAGCAGGATGGAGCCCATTAAATGGCTAGTATGAATGTGTGTTGTCACCGGGGTGGATTGGGTTATTATTTTATTATTATTCTTTTTATTTCTTTTATATGGTGTTTTGATATCCTTATAAGCCGCCTTGAGTCACCATGTGCAAGTAAGTGACAATATAAATTTTCTAAATAAATAAATTTCAGTTTTTACACTCACCTTCTGACTGTTTGATTCCTTTACTGGTTTCTTTCTCCTACTCTTGATGGCCTTCCAACTGCTACCTGAGTTCCAGCCGCCATTTTGGTGTATTAGCAGAGTTCTTCCCAATATCCCACATAATTTCCTTTCAAACGATTGGTTATTTTAATCCCGAATCTTGTTTTAAATTCGTCAGTGTGAAAGGAGGCTAGGTAATTTACCTAACATATTCCCAAGCCGAAAAAGTTTTCGCTCTCACTTTCAAGGGCTTAACCTAAGTGTAGAATTGAAGTGGAATGTTCAAAGTGCTTTATGCAGCTGGTAACTATAATCCTTTTGATAGTCCAACAATATCAAATCTGGCTCGGGCTGTTTTGTGATAGATCTTCTTGGTTTATTGGTGTCGTTGTCGTCTTCTGTCAGAGGCAGTGGACAGCCTCTGATGTAACCGCGGTGCCGATAAACAAAAGGCCTGTCTTAGAAAATAGGATTTTTCATTACCTTCATCTTTTATTGTAGGAGTCACTCCGGGGCAATACTCGTCTTATGGAGCAAGTTCAAGAACTTGTGCAGGAAAAAGGGAGATTATTACAAGAGCTGGATGAAGTACGGAAGGTAAACTAGAGTGGAGGTATACATTGGGGCTCATTCACACAACACCGATCTTGACACTTGTAAATGAGCAGAAGAAGGCCAGACCGTGGCCTGCTTCTTTCTCCCTTTTCGCATCGAGTCTTCTAAACTGATTCCATTTGTCTGATTCCATTGGCAAAAATCCCTTAAATCAGGAGGTCAGGTAAGAGTTTCTGAGTTTCTACTCCGAATGAACTGCAATTCAGTATTAAGCTTATGAGCAGACGCTCATAAAATTTGAAGCAAAATAGAATAGAAGAAAGGACAAGGAGGAATAGGATAAGGGCATTGGAGGAAGAATAGTAGCTAGTGGAACGTTGCAAGATGTTAAAATGGTATCCGCTGGCTAAGAAAGCTGTTCCATTTTGACCTGATTTCCTGACTCTCTCCAGGAGAGCCCATAGACTTTTTAAATTTCTCAGTGCAACTATGAGGACCAGAAATGAGTGCTTTTTGTTTTTAAAGAAGCCAAGGATTTTGGTCTCAAAATGCAAACTTCCTAAATAGTCAAATTTATTTATGCTTCTCAAGATAAACAGCACCTCCCTTACCAATCTTTAACTAAAATCTTGGGCATATTATATGCCTGCACCCCGCCTTTGTGAGGTTGGTCTTTATAAACCAAACTAAAATATGGGATCCTTGGTTATTTTCTTGCAGACATTTCACTACCTAAGTAACATCATCAGTGCGAGAAAGAAGTGGGTTTTGCACCAAGGACCTTACAGTTCAGCCCTGAGCTACAAACATTCTCTTGTATTGAAACTAAGGCACAGGTGGTCCTCAATGTACGACCACCATTGAGCCCAAAATTCATGTTGCTAAGTGAGACATTTATTGCGTGATTTTGGCCCCATTTCACGATCTTTCTTTCCTCGGCTGTTAAATGAATCGCTGCAGTTGTTCAGTTAGTAACATGGTTGTTAAGTGAATCTGATTTCCCCATTGACTTTGCTTGTCATAAGGTTGCAAACGGTGATCACGTGACCTCAGGACACTGCAACCGTCATAAGTAGGAGCCAGTTGCCAAGCGTCGGAATTTTGATCACGTGACCATGGGGATGCTACAATGGTCTTAAGTGTGAAAAATGGTCATAAGTCACTTTTTTCAGCCTCATTGTACCTAGGCTGAACTAAATGAATTGTTGTAAGTCGAGGACTAGCTGTATACTCGGTTTTATACTCCGGGGCAAAGAGGGATGAGGAATTTTATATCTGAATCCTTATTGCCTGTTGTATTGGAAGTTGTGATGGCCCAGGGTGGGATACAAAATAAATATACTCACAAAAAACAGGTGAAGCCCCTTTTATTCTTTCACTTTGCTTCCAAGCTCCAAATATCCTTGACTGGAGACAAAAAAACTCCCACACAAGCAGTTACAAGAAGGAGGAAATGCCGTTTAAATTATAAAGAGTAAAAATACAACACAAACCAGGCAAGATAAGGGCTTGAAGATGTCCATAGATATCAGAACACACACTGGGAAGGACACCAAACTCAGAGAGGAACAATAAACTAGAGATATTTCCACGCTTTGTTTCCAGCACCGGCACATATGCATGTCTGTCCTCTTATCCAGTTGTCACAGCTGCAGCCCGTGAAGAGGATCAAGGCCCTCTCCTCCCCAGTAGACCACATCTCTCCCTTATCCTCCACTCCCTGCATGCCCTAGAATGGAGAGGAGATGAGCCTGAGTCCTCCTCTGACTGCCCAGCTGGCCTCTGCCCTTCCCCAGCCTCCTCCACAGCCTCTGGAGCCACACTTCCATTCCCTGTTGGCTGTTCCTCCTCTCCCTCAGAGTCAGTCTCCACCAGGGGCACGACAGAAGTGGGGTATAGGGCTGAGCTGTGCCTTCTGTTTTCCAGACAGCAGAGAAACGCAAGGCCATGCTAGATGAGATGGCCATTGAGACCCAGCAAGAAAAGGGGCGCCACAAGGAAGAACTCGGTAACCTCCGCCTGCAGCACGAGAAAGAGATGCTGGCTGTGAGGGCACGCTATGAGCGAGAGCTGCGGGAGCTGCACGAGCACAAGAAACGGCAAGAGGACGAGCTGCGGGGCCAGCTCAAGGAGGAGAAGGTATGAGTTCAGACCACCAGGGCCACATTCAAGGTTTAAGGACCAGATATTTGATCTGCCTTTCTCAGTAAAGTTGAGCATTTCAAGACGCATTCTCTAAAGGAGGAAGAACTCCCTAACTTTATGAAAAGGAGCAAGCAGCAACGATTGTCTAAAATTGATCAGCTAAAACTTCTAGGCAAGCTGCTGTCCAGGTTACGACTGTTAACATGCATGTTTACATTGGGGCCAAGAAATGAAATCACTGGTTTTGTTGAGGAAGAATCACCAAGGGAGCTTTGGCTCTCACACTAAAATAGTGAAATTTTGTTATGTTTGGGGTGGGTGGGTGGGGTTTCCCCTCTAGGTCAGTGGTCGCCAACTGGTGGTCCACGAGAAAATTTTGGTGGTCCGCAGAGAAATGTCCCCCCCCCAAAGCAACCCCCCAAAGCAATTAATTCAGGCTGCGTGGGAACACAAGGCTGCACTGCCCACATCGCCTGCCCATCCACTGGCCCCCACCCTTTGGCCGAGCACAAACGTTACCTTGAGTAGAGCCACGCGAGCTGGAACTGGAAGGTAAGACCAACGGCAGGGAGGGAAATCCGCCCTGCTCATCCATGGCAGACCGGTGAAAGGCCAGTCGTGTGACTACTGCAGCTCTGGAATACGGGACTGACTTTCCCACCAATGTCTGCAAGCCACCGTCAGTCAAAATTCATATTAGTAGTCCGCGAGATTTAAAATTATGAGCTTAGTGGTCCCTGAGGTCCAAAAGGTTGGCGACCCCTGCTCTAGGTATCTTGAATTTCCTCTCCTTTTGGAATTGTCTGCAGTGTTTTCCTTCCTCTTCTTCATCAGGCTCGTAGTCAAGAACTGGAATCCATGCAACAAACTGTGGAAGAGCTACGGCTCCAGATCCAATCCATGGATGGCACCAAGGGCTGGTTCGAACGGCGGCTTAAAGAGGCAGAGGTACTGATTTGGAAGAGAAATGGAATAGCAATACCTTTCCAGTTGCACAAATCCAGTTTTTGTCTATCTATTGATTCAGCTTTACATTTCAGTATTGGGACATAAAGTAGAAGTGGCATTCTGTGGATGGGCCAGTTAGGTTTGCTTTCAAGCCTTTTATTGGGGCTCTGATTTTCTTCCTCTTCCCCAGGAATCGATAGAGAAGCACCAGCAGGAACACATGGAAGCCTTGAGAATTTGTAAAGAGCAGCATGCAGCTGATTTACAGGTATTGGGGGCTGTGAATTATCTATTCCTCCCCAGGCATGAAAAGTGACAGAGATTTATTTCCCTCCATGCTGTCTGGCATAACACTGCAAATTTTTCAGTTAAGGGGTTTTGTCTGCTTCTGCCATTTAAAGTATGATTTATTGCAACCAATGGTTGATATGGGCTGATGTGAAAAACAACTTGTTTTTATCTACATTGGATTGACTACAAAGTCTAATGAATTTCTGGTCCCTTCTGGACATGGTTAATGTAGGACATGGCTAGGGGATCTGTAGCCCTCAGTGTTGGTCCTCAGTTCCCAGCAGTCTCAGCCAATGAGACTGATGTGAGGGATTCTGGGAATTGTATTTCATAAAATCAGGAGGGCAACAGGTTCTCCACACAGAACAATTCTAAAAATTATGCAATGGAGCTTTTCTGAAATGCTCAAGAAGAACCTCTTTCATTAATGTGAATGAATGACTTTTTCTGAAATCTTTTTACATTAGGTTTTTTTTTTAAATCAAATTGGGTTCCTGACTGAGTTTACAGCTATAGTCGGAAAAATCAAAATTAAAAGAGCATATTAAAAAATTGAAAATGGTACATAATATGTCTGAGTTTTTAAATTAAAAAGTTTTTTGCTTGGTGTCTGAGAACATTGATTTAGATAGACTTTTGGGGGGTAAAATTCCATGACTGGATTGCTGTAGGGAGAAATGTTATCCTTGTCGTTAATATCAATCTTTCCTTTGATTAAACAGTCACTGAGAGGAAGGCTGAAAAATGACAAACTGCTCAAGACTTTCACAGTAAACTCAAGTGCAAACACTTTGTCATTGAAACCCTTTAAAATATGCAGGATGTGAGCATTTATCTGTTAATTGTAACTTATATTCCAACCTGGCTGAGGTTAGACTGCTGTGGGACTAGGCCTGAGCAAATGTCAGAAGGGTGAAGAAATGTCCATATTTAAAATAAGATTTCTACTGGAAAATCTCTGGTAGATGCCCTGATCATCCTTGGAAAAGCAAATATCGTCTAGGAAAAAAAGCCTTTTGAGTTGCTGCTCCCTGCTGTCTTCTCTTGTTCAAGCTTTTCAAATCAATAAAACAGCAACAGTAACTATGTAAATGCAGTTTTTCCAACTTGTCTTATCGTCGCCTTTCTCTTTAATTAAAAAGAGGAAGGAACTGAGGCAACTGGTAACAAATGCTCAAGTGCTTTTGAGATAATATTGCTGAGGAAAAATTTTGATCTACTTTTTATTGGTGTTTGTTTTGTATGTTCTACAGGGGAATGGGTAGGTAGGTTAATATCAGTCTTCCTCAGGCATATTTAGTACTACAGTCCACAGGATTCCCAGCCAGCAAATAGCCTTTGGCAAAGGCAGTGATTCACCTATAATTTACCTTTGTAAACAGCTTAGAGCAAGGGTCTTCAAACTTGGCAAGTTTAAGACTTGTGGACTTCAACTCCCAGAATTCCTGAGCTAACATGACTAGAGGAGGAATTCTGGGAGTTGAAGTCAACACGTCTTAAAGCTGTCAAGTTTAAAGACCCCCTGGTTTAGAGAGAACTGTAAGTCCCTTAGATATAAGTCTAAGTGTTATTGTTAAGTGTTATAATTTAAAGGGGTCTTTGGAGCTTACTTTAAACTTGAGTGTTACTTTTGTGTAAACCATGGTGCTGATTCTCCTTTCTACCAGTATCTCATATGATCAGTCTTTTGGCTCCAGAAAGAGAGGTCCTACTTGACAGATTGAAATCTGTTTAGCTATTGTGAGTTTCACCACGATGATCCATGCACTTCTCCACATGTTTATGGTGGCAAGGGGGGATGATGGGAAGGGAAGATAACTAGGACTGTTTTAATAAAAATCATACCGTACTTACCCAACATCCATCAGAGTTCCTTAAAGAATCCCTGAATCTTCTTTGGATTATAAATGCAGGCTATTGGCCTGAAGATTGAAATTTCCATGTCCAGCAGCTCTAAGATTTAACAGTTCTTGCTGTTGGAACTGAATGGGGTATTTGCAGGTAATGTGCAGAGCAGCGGATCAGAGCGCTTGGAAAGGAGAATTATTGAGATGGGTGCAGGGGTGGGATTCTACCAGTTTCGCACCTATTTGCTAGAACCGGTTGTTAACATTCTAAGCAGTTTGGAGAACTAGTTGTTAGAAGAAATTACTGGCCTAATCCTGTAAGGAAGGCAGGAAGGAAACATTCTGGTGTTGCTTACAGAAACTGCCTCTCCGTTACCCCTTATTACATTCTTGTCAGGACTAGACTTCCTGTCTCAGGAACTTCTCTGGAGATTTTTTCCCCTCCTTTGCTGGTACTTTGCTTGTGTGGAATGACTATTCAAAGTTACAATGGCATTGAAAAAAGTAACTTAGGATCATTTTTCACACTTACGACTGTTGCAGCATGCTCACAGTCATGAGAGGAGATGGTGCCTTGATGTGAATGATATTCAGTTGGCTACACCCAGCCAATAACACGACCACCAAACCATGTCCACCCAGTTACATGACCACCAAGCTACGCCCACTGCCTAAGCCACGCTCACAGAACCGGTTGTTAAAAATTTGAATCCCACCCCTGGATGGGTGGCTATAGAAATTTGAATGAATGAATGAATGAGTGAGTGAGCGAGCAAGCAATATGTCAACTAGCCTTTCTCCTTTTTTACGCTTTTGCAGTTTTCTCCATTGCTGCCACTTGGATTCCTTTCACATGTTAGCTGCTTTTTTTCTGCAGTGATGAAGTGTAGCTACACAGTAGAATTTTAGCCAGGCACTTTGCTTTTCCACTGAAAATGTCCTTTCTCAGCCGCTGGCATTTTCCATGTGAGAGGAATAATATAGGAACCTTATTCTGCCTTTTAACTACCTTGCTCCTGGTCTCTCCTGCTCCAACTGGGTTGTTTCCTCTGCAGCTAAAAGACCAGGAGGTGGAGGCAACTAAGGAGAAATTGCGAGAGATTGAAAAAGCCAGGAATGAGCACATGGACACAGTCAACCGGCTGAAGCAGGTGTGTATGCCCTGAGCCTGCCAGCTTCCTGCAGGAACTGGTTGGCAGGACGCACTTCCTTCGGCCATCTGTTCCCTCACTTCCTGCCAGGACTTGCCCACCTGCTGAATTATGTCTCCTCCTCCAGTGTGGTTGCAGTACACTGGCATGGGTAGATAGATGGTGCTGCTAGTTCTCTCCAATTCATGTATTCAAACTGAGGGTTTTGTGGTAGTTCCTGGAGTGACAAGAACACAGGCTTCCAAACAATGCCGTTCCTGGTTTGGAGAGAAGGAAACTGATCTGAGTGTAGAACAGCTCATCATATTCAAGAGAAAGATTAAATCACAGAATGCAAGGAATGGAAGGAATCTTCTTGGGGAGCATCTAAACCAACCCTCTGCCTAGTGCGGGAATTCACTATGGCAGCTGTGTATAAAAGCAGGAAAATACGATGCCAAAGGGAAAGAGGGAAGAAGGGAAGAAGCATATTTTGACACTCGGCAAGCTTTCTTTTGAGTTGGAAGGATGGAAGCAAAGTCGCTACAGTTTGCCCTTTTTTAATTTCTGGATGTGGCCATATAGGCTCTGACTTGCTAGAAGAGCAAAAAAATCTGCTTTCCTGTAGCTAATGGAAGGTGTCAATGGTCTCAGTGTACTGGCCTTTAGTTCAATAATCCCAGTGCAATTATTCAGGAATCCCCTTATCCCAGTTTAGACAAAAAGGATTGTTGTCAGCCCTTCAAGGTAGGCCAAGTTAGGAAACAGACACCACAAGAAACAGCAGAATTCTCTTTATTATTATGAACTAGAACAGAGGTCTCCAAGCTTGACAACTTTAAGACTTGTGGATTTCAACTCCCAGAATTCTGGGAGTTGAAGTCCACAAGTCTTAAAGTTGCCAAGTTTGGGGACCCCTGAACTAGAATAACAAAATCTTGAAAGCCCAATCACATTTCTCTTTTCCTTCCGTCTTATGCCTAGGCAAACCAAATTGAGGCAATCTTTAGTTTCTTTCTCCACCAGTTAAATTTATTACAGACCTAAAGCCAGATATAAACAAAACACCTGATGATACACAGATGATAGACGGACAGACAGAAAGACAGAAAGATAGAATTGTCACTTTGAATGTACAGTAATTGGCATTCATTAAAATGAAATTTCATTGCAAACAGCTCTCAAAGGGTCACTAGCTCCAATGTACACTACATAAATGTGACTAAATAAATAAATACATACAAAATTATGCATATACCCATATATATTATATGACATAGAGAAACAACACAGTCTAGTTTGGATGAGAAATAATACATTAGATAATTATATTAATACAATAGAAACAATACATTCTTCTATATATGTGTATAATAGAGGAACAATAAGTACAGGTAGTCCTCAACTTACAATAGTTCAGTTAGTGACCATTTCAAGTTACAACATCACTAGAAAAAATGACTTATGACCATTGCAGCTTCCTCATGGTCATGTGATTAAAATTTCAGATGCTTGGCAAGTAGTTCACCATATTTATGATGTTTGTACTGTCCCGGGGTCATGTGATTACCTTTTGTGACCTTCTGACAAAGTCAGTGGAGAAGCCAGATTCACTTAACAACTATATGTGACTAACTTAACACCTGCAGTGATCCACTTAACAACTGTGGCAAGAGAAGTCATAAAATGGGGCAAAAACTCTCTTAACAAATGTCTCACCCACAGAAATTTGGGGCTCCATTGTGGTCGAGGACAAAAAATAAGAACAAACATGCTAAAATAAATCCAGATGAAATACTATTATAAGAAATTCCAAACTAATAATGGCAAAGAGCATCATACAAACAGCAGCACAAATTGAGAGAAGTTGTAAAGTTATTATTTTTCAGTCCTTGCCAAACGAAGCAATGCTATATAGAAATGAGGGGTTTTTTTCTCTTGTTTTCTTGTTTTCTCAGACTAAGCTCCTGCTTTATTAAGTTGCCACACACTTCTCAAAAGTCTTCTCTGTGCTTTTTCGACAATTTGAGATTGTACCCCTTTTTGTGGTAGATGGGCTAATTGTAAAATATAGGACGGGCTAAGGGAAAGAAAAAAATGAATTCCTAGAATATGACCAGGATTGGAGATAAAGCTAGGGGAAACAGCTTTGGTGCATTTTTTTTTCTTTCTTTCATAGTATGGCATTTTCAGAGTAGTAGAAACGTTGCTTCTATCCCACCCCTGGAATATGAAGAGATCCTACCACTTGTAGCTCAGTGGTCCTGCTTTACAAAGAGGTAGAGCATTGTAAAGATGAGATGTATCATTTTGACTTACGAAGTGAAAAGTCCATGTCTCTTTGGCAGGAAGTGAAGGACACAGTAGATGGGCAACGGATCCTGGAGAAGAAAGGGAGTGCAGCAGTAAGTTGGAGGGATTCTACATGGAAATTGGGCGGGGATATGAAAGTGTGTGTACATCATACTTGGCCTTGCTGGTTGAGCTATTGTGAGAGTCAGCTTGCTGTTCTTTGCCTCTTTCTATTAACCTCTGAGATGATTTTTATCAGGACAGGACATTTTTGTGCCATCCTCTTTGTGAAACCTGAAGGAAATGTGATGTTGAGAATTGCTGGCAGGCTTTAAGATAAGCCTGCTAAATTCCAGTCTACCACCACAGTTAAAAAAAAGGACGGTTGGAAACATCAGCCCCTGTGAAGCTGACAAACAAGAACTATTTGGTTTTCTGGAAAAGATTTTTATTTTATTTTTACTAGGGTAATAGAACAAACACCCAACTGATGAAATCCCTTCACCTTAAATGCATGAAATTGCAATGGAGCTATGACCACTTCTGTTACTCCACTGAGCTATATTTCATACTGGTCTGAGTTCTCCTCACTGTTGCTGCTTATTTAAGTAACCAGAATGTGAGTTGCTTGAATAAAGATTATTCCAGAAGCTGGAGATGCTTCGCTGGATGGATGGTATTCTCATGGTGTTGACATGACTGGAAAACCTCTTCCTTCCGTCCAGTACATGCCACCAATTGCAGATTGCTAAATCATGCAGATGTCTAGCCAATGCCCAATTCCAAAGTCTTCAAAACTGCTCTTGTGGTATTTTTTGGCCTTAATTGCAGTGTTGTGATTCCAAGATTTCTCAGAATGTACTACCTACAGAAATTAAAATGACACCTTCACAAGTCTTCACAAGTCTTTATCTTTTGGGGTAATGGTAGCCCAACACTAATGAAAGAGAAGTACAGGTAGACCTTAATGATCACTCATTCAGTGATCGTTCAGAGTTACAGTGGCACTGAATAAGGGGGGTCTTACGGCTGTTCCTTAAAGTTCTTGTAGTCCCCCCATGATCACGTATACTTGGCAGTTGATGCACAATTAGGACAGTCATGGTGTCTTGCAGTCACATGATTGCTATTTGTAATCTTCACTTCTGGCTTCCAACAAGCGAAGTCAGTGGGGAATCTGGCAGGAAATCACAAGTCACGGTCATGTGATATTGCATTTAATGACTGCACAGTTCACTTAATGACTTCAACTGGCACTGCCAGAACTACTATTATAAGTCGGCATGGTCACATGATTTTTCACTTTATGACCATGTTCCTGGTCCCAATTATGTTAGCTAATTGAGGCCTTCCTATATTATGCATCTGCTGAATAGTGGGCTTCTTTGCTTATCTTGTGCAAAAATTGCGGGTGAGACAGCCAGTGGTGGGACTAAGCATCAGTGAATCCAGCCTTGATTTCCTCCACATCTCTCTCTTCCCCATGAACAGCTGAAGGACCTCAAAAGACAACTTCATCTAGAAAGGAAGCGAGCAGATAAACTTCAGGAGCGCCTGCAAGAGATCTTGACCAACAGCAAGAGCAGGACAGGTAAGAGATGACCCTCATGGCTGCAGAGGGGAGAGGGGACAATGACTTTGTGTATATAGGCATTTGGTTTCCTCCCACCCTCTACACTATTGTCATCCCCCTGTCGCAATCGTGACTCTGAGGAAGCCGAACAGCTGACAGGGAATGGGGGTGTCGCTCCATTGGCTGTGGAGGAAATTGGGGAAGGGCAAAGTCAGGCTGGGCAGAACAGGGGAGAGGTGAACAAGGGAGAGGGAAGACCCAGGCCCACCCTCTTTTCATCCTAGGGCATGCAGAGAGGAACGGAGAAGAGAGCAACGTGGGTTACATGGCTTACGGGGGAGGAAAAGGCCCTGATTCCCTTCATTAGCTACAGCTGGGAACACAGTTTATAAAAAAGGCAAGCTGTTGGGAGCAAATATGACTTTATCTTGTATTGCCATGACTTATCTGTGTTCCTGGCATCTTCCCAACCATGTGAGTTTTGCCCTGCTTTCAAGTCTGAAGTTCTTGCTCCTGCCCTGCCAAACTAATTACTTCAGTTTGGCTTATTTGGACTTTTAAGTTACAGTGTGTGTTTACCCTGTTTTGGACTGAATTTTCTGCAGTCAAAGGCTGTTTCTGGGAGAGTTTTTCTCCAGCCCGAAGGTAACCTGGACACTGGGGGCAAAGTTGGAGATAATAAAGGGACTCTTATTGATTATCTGACTGTGTTGTCTTTGTGCCACGCCCCGGGGCATTACAACTATATACAGTAGTTTAGCTGGTAGCCCAGCCTTGCAAGCCATTGGAGCCATTAATTCTCAAATGCAAAGCTGGCTTTTAATTCTGAATTTTGGTATTGGAAAGTATCTTTGTGTCTGAGTAACCTCAACCCCTTGTCTAGAATCTATTTAGTACTGAGTAGTTTTAGTGGGTTTACATTTTGCTCATTTAAGTAATATTCCTACTTCAAGTCACTTTGTCTTCAAAACAAAACTCAACGACCTTAAAAGCATTCCCTTTGTTTCAACATATGACTAATTCAGCATGTTGTTTTTTTTCAAAATGTATTTTGGGAATTTTAGAAAATTGCTTTGAAAGACACATTTACACGTAAATCTCTGTTGGAGTTCAGGCTTTTGTGGCGAAGGCAGCCAAGTGCCAGCAATTTCTCTACCTTTGCTCCCTGTGGAGAAAGAGCAGGCGCAGTGATCCATCTGCAGCTGCTATGAGTTACTTTTGCAATGGTTTGCCGATAAAATGGCTTGTACATGCAAAAATCTGAGTTCTACGTGGGCAGAATAGGAAAGGTTGGTTGGATAATATTCTGTAATGCTATCTGGGATTCATTTTGGTTTCTAGACTCTAAGGCAGGGATGTCAAACTCAAGGCCCGTAGGCTGGATCCAACCCATAAGGTGCTTAGATCTGACCTGTGGGGCTGCCCTGAGAACAGTGAAGGACCGGTCTGTGGTGCCTCTGCCAGTGAAAACAGAGCTTGGGAGGGCCATGTATGGCTCCATTTTCAGCCGCGATGGCGTCTGGCTGCCCTTTGCCATGTGCGCATCCCCCCCAGCTCCATTCTTACTGGCAGAGGATAGCAGGAGGCTGTTGTGGCCAAAAGCGGAGCTCGGGAGCCCATTTTCACTGGCAGAGCGCACAGGCCACCACAGACGCCCCCGACACGAGTGATGTCAAGATGGCCATGCCCACCCCAGCCCCTGAGGTCAAACACAACCTTGATGCAGCCTCCAAAGAAATCGACTTGGACACCCCTGTTCTAAGGGAAGGATATAAGATGGACTGTGGCATGAGATCCACCACTTGTGGGGTGAATTCCAGCTCTACTAGTTGAATTCAGAAAGTGGTCACTAGGAGAAAGGTGCCTTATAGCTGTAGTGTATTTCTTGTAAAAGACGCCTTTTTTGGATCCAAGCATTGGACAGCTTCCACTACATCTCCACATCTCCAATCTTCCCTGTAGTAGGAAGGGTGTAGAGGAGGCATCAGCTGCAGAATTCAAGAGAAGTAGATTATCTTGACCTCTTTTTTTACTCTGGATTCAGACCTGGAAACAGAATGGAAAATGGAACAGGTTACACTGATGAATGGCTTTTGTTGGCTTTGTTAGCAATGGAGAAGTGCATCCTTCTTGATTCCTTATCATGTAGTACCAATGAACCATGATATACTTCTGAGTTATCTGCAAGGACTGGAGGAGGGAGGCACTGTATGGGGTTCCTGCTCTTTTCTGGGTGGGTGTTTCCAATAGGTAGAGAAAGAGAGGCCAGAGAGGTCAGCTGGTTGCTTCCTTGTTGGGTGCAGATGAAACAAACAGAATTCTAGCACATCAGAAGGCTATTTATTTATTGTTAAATTCTGACTCTTATTAGCTCCTATTATTATTCTGGGTTGCAAAGAAGCAGATTACGAGTTTTCCTGGATTCTTAGCTACTGTTAGACTAGACCTGCTGTTAGAAGCTGCGATCAAGGGAACCTTTGCCCAATTTCAGCTGATGTGCAGGTTGTGGCCCTGGAGTGGGAGAGGTTGGTGAAGGTAACTCACACCCTCATCAACTAGAAATTAGACAACTGCAATGGTTTTTACCTAGGGCTACCTACGAAGGCTGGGAAATGAAATTGGTGCAAAATGCAACTGGCTGTTGATTAGTGTGTGTAAGCCATCATACTCATGTGAATAGAATAGAATAGAATTCTTTATTGGTCAAGTGTGATTGGACACACAAGGAATTTGTCTTGGTGCAAATGCTCTCAGCATACATAAAAGAAAAGAGTCAAGAGTCAAGAATCATAAGGTACAACACTTAGTGATAGTCATCGGATACAATAAGCAATCAAATCATACTAGGAAACAGTCAATATAAATCGTAAGGATACAAGCGACACAGTTACAGTCATACAGTAACAAATGGGAAGGGATGGGTGATAAGGAGTGATGAGAAGATTCACAGTAATAATAGTGCATACTTTGTAATAGTTGAACAGTATTGAGGGAATTATTTGTTTCGCAGAGTGATGGCTTTTGGGAATAAAACTGTCCTTGTGTCTAGTTGTTCTGGTGTGCAGCACTCTATAGCTTCGTTTTGAGGGAAGGAGTTGAAACAGTGAAGGTCTTCTTGCAGGTCCTGCATTGGCTTCCAATATGTTTTTGGGTGTGATTCAAAAGGGCTAATTGTAAGCTATAAAGCCCTTGGCTACCTGGTATCTCTAGGACTGCCTCGCATCCTCACTCTGAGAAAGGAGGGACCGTCCCCCCCTTCTTTCCATATCTCCTGCCTCAGGTTGATGAGCTAGGGCTCACCAAGAAGCAGAGTTTCTCTGTGATAACACTTTCACTGTGTAGTAGCCATTTCCTAGAAATGTATTTGGAACCTACCCTGATGTGCTTTAGGAAGGCGGTTAAAAACATTGTCACTTCATACAGGGCTCCATTTGTAAGTACTGTTGGAAGACTAGACACCATTGAGTTAGTATTATCTGATGGTGTATTTTTTAATTTAGCATTGATTCTGTTTTAACTGTTCTGATTGCTCTTATGTAAGCCATCAAAAATTGTGTTGGGTTGCGGCAGTACAGAAACTTCGCAAAAAAGCAAATAAGTACACAAACACATGGCCTGACCTTCTCTGAGAGCAGAATGCTATGCTTCCTACCATATTGTAAACTTTTTTTGCCCTGGGTTCCTGGAGAAGCATGGTGCATATATACAACCATGACCATATAATGTGGAGAGTAGGCACATATGTACCTTTTGTTTTGAATCTCATGAGCACTTTCAAAATGTGCCATAGGTACAGGAACCAAGGATAGGTAAGGTTCTTGCAAGCTAATGTAAAATGAAAAACGGCTTCATGTGAGCATTAAATTAACTGTTACATTTCAACAGGTAAAGCATGTAGCTATTCCACCTTGGTTTTTAGAAAACTCCCTTGACTTGAGTTTAGAGATTAATTCAAACTGGGGTAAGATGTTGTAGAAAAGGAGCAAGCAGACCTCAAGCTCACTAGGTCAAATTCGTGGATCAAAAGAAATAATCTCATGGATACATCCTTACATGTTGAATTTTTTTAAAAAAAAAAAAACAGCCTAGGAATATGTGATCTGTATCAGCAATCAGATTCATGAATCTTTTCATGCAAAAATCATCTTCTGATTTTTCCATAAGTGCTTTTTTCCAACAACGTTGAGAAGGTAATTGTTTTGTTTGGCAGGTAAAAGGGAAAAATCCTGACAGATCTCTTCAAAGACGTAAATTCAATCCTGGGAACAAATGAAATATTTGAAGCAAAATACAGGTCTATTTCCAGAACTTGCACTGGCAGCAGTTTTGAGAACTCCTGGATCAGCATTGCCAAGAAAATAAGCTGTGTTCCAGGAGGGAGAAAGGATGCAGTCTCCAACTGCCAGACACCACAGGAATAGGAAGCCAGCTGTCCAGTTTGTATAGCAGTCAGTCAGACACCTGGCTGTCCCAGCTGTGTGGGGTCTGGAGGGAGGGGGAACCAGGCGAGTTGAAATTGCTCCCAGGGAAATAAGCATTAAAACATTAGGTCAGCTCAGTGTGTCTTCTGGGAAGAGAGAGGATGCTGGAACAGGCAATTACTGTATTGTGTTGCATTTGCTTGAATGGGGAAAGAGGACATGACGGGTTTGGATTGCAGCAGAGCCGGGCCGCCTAGTCAGGATGGCAGGTGAAGTAGAATGGATGAAGGTGGGGAAGAGACTATTTCCTTAGGATAGCCCTTCATTTGGGCATCTCTGCCCACTGGTAATATATGAATGACATGGTTAGGTTTCAGAACTAGGAGAATCCACCTCAGTGAAGTGTATTGAGAACTTCGGAGAGAGTTCCATTCACGTGTGGCCCAGAAGCCATGTTTCTTGGCTGCCTTTGCCAGTGGACAAAATGAGGGTTTTTAAATCACAACCTGCTAAATTGCTGTCTGGTACCTAGAAAGTCTAGTCATTTCCCTAAGGATTCCTCTTGCTCAAATTTGTGTCTTCTGCACGGCATGTACA